GTCTGCTCACGCTGCTGCCAGGTCCATACTGATTCATGGCCCCCTGTACCGGCTCCTCATGAACGTGGTTCAGCGGGTTTACATCACTTAACGGCAAATCGTTGACAAACGCTGGGACGTTCAGTGTTGTGCGCATTAAGCCAGACACCAAAGGGCAGCACAGACCTGTTATTACTCGCTCAAGCATGGCTGAACAAAACCAGTCTCTACCACAAATTGGACCCAGACCTGCCCAGGGTCTCGTAAGTAGATTGCACGGAGGAGTAGAGTTCGTTATTGGAATTAAACTGTGAGGGACTTTTAAACCTAGGCCTGTTGCATGGCCTTCAATTGAAGCTGCTTTCTGCTCCGCCACTCTGCATTGGACTCTTGATAGTCGTCTCCCCACGCTGCTGCTGCTGGGGGGACTTTTTAACATAGGCCTCTGTATGGCCTTCAATTGAAGCTGCTTCTGCTCCGCCACTCTGCCATTGGACTCTTGATAGTCGACGACTATCAAGAGTCCAATGGCAGAGTGGCGGAGCAGAAGCAGCTTCAATTGAAGGCCATACACAGGCCTAGGTTTAAAAGTCCCTCACATTAATTCCAATAACGAACTCTACTCCTCCGTGCAATCTACTTACGAGACCCTGGCAGGTCCTGGGTCCAATTTGTGGTAGAGACTGGTTTTGTTCAGCCATGCTTGAGCGAGTAATAACAGGTCTGTGCTGCCCTTTGGTGTCTGGCTTAATGCGCACAACACTGAACGTCCCAGCGTTTGTCAACGATTTGCCGTTAAGTGATGCAAACCCGCTGAACCACGTTCATGAGGAGCTGGTACAGGGGGCCATGAATCAGTATGGACCTGGCAAGCAGCGTGAGCAGACGACAGAGGCACATGGCGCAGGGTGGCGGTGGGATCGGCAGCAGTATTCGGAAGCCATACGCAGGCCTAGGTTAAAAAGCGGAAGCCGTCAGCAGCTGTGAGCAGACGACAGAGGCACATGGCGCTGGGTGGCGGTGGAGGCAGCAGCAATGGAAGGCCATACAGCACCCTATCACAAAATGGAACCCACCAACAGTGTAAGGAGACCTGAAAAAGTGGCACATGGCAGAGTCTGGCGATGAATGTCAGCAGCAATGGGAGGCCGTACAGGGACCCATGACACACTCTGGACCTGGCAGCAGCAGCAAGAGCAGAGGCGGTATAGGGGCCCATGGCAGAGTGGCGAGCGTAAGCAGCTTAAATTGAAGGCCATACAGAGGCCTATGTTAAAAAAAGTCCCCCAGCAGCAGCGTGGGGGACGACTATTAGCCTCCTCATGCTGCTGCCAGGTCCAGAGTGTGTCATGGGTCCCTGTACGGCCTCCTCCATTGCTGCTTGTCTCCATCGCCACACTCTGCCATGTGCCACTTTCAGGTCTCCTCACACTGCTGGTGGGTTCCATTTTGTCATAGGGTGCTGGCAGATTACGGGCCTCCCATTGCTGCTGCCAGGCCCGTAATCTGCCATGGGCCCCTGTACCGCCTCCCCTCCTCATGCTGCTGCCAGGTCCAGAGTGTGTCATGGGTCCCTGTACGGCCTCCCATTGCTGCTGTCTCCATCGCCACACTCTGCCATGTGCCACTTTCAGGTCTCCTCACACTGCTGGTGGGTTCCATTTTGTCATAGGGTGCTGGCAGATTACGGGCCTCCCATTGCTGCTGCCAGGCCCGTAATCTGCCATGGGCCCCCGTACCGACTCCTCATACTGCTGCCAGGCCCGTCATGGGTCCCTGTACCGCCTCCTCATGCTGCTGCCAGGTCCAGAGTGTGTCATGGGTCCCTGTACGGCCTCCCATTGCTGCTGTCTCCATCGCCACACTCTGCCATGTGCCACTTTCAGGTCTCCTCACACTGCTGGTGGGTTCCATTTTGTCATAGGGTGCTGGCAGATTACGGGCCTCCCATTGCTGCTGCCAGGCCCGTAATCTGCCATGGGCCCCCGTACCGACTCCTCATGCTGCTGCCAGGCCCGTCATGGGCCCCCTGTACCGCCTCCTCATGCTGCTGCCAGGTCCAGAGTGTGTCATGGGTCCCTGTACGGCCTCCCATTGCTGCTGTCTCCATCGCCACACTCTGCCATGTGCCACTTTCAGGTCTCCTCACACTGCTGGTGGGTTCCATTTTGTCATAGGGTGCTGTATGGCTCCCATTGCTGCTGCCAGGCCCGTAATCTGCCATGGGCCCCCGTACCGCCTCCTCATGCTGCTGCCAGGCCCGTAATCTGTCATGGGCCCCTGTACCGCCTCCTCATGCTGCTGCCAGGTCCAGAGTGTGTCATGGGTCCCTGTACGGCCTCCCATTGCTGCTGTCCATCGCCACACTCTGCCATGTGCCACTTTCAGGTCTCCTCACACTGCTGGTGGGTTCCATTTTGTCATAGGGTGCTGTATGGCCTCCCATTGCTGCTGCCAGGCCCGTAATCTGCCATGGGCCCCCGTACTGACTCCTCATGCTGCTGCCAGGCCCGTAATCTGTCATGGGCCCCTGTACCGCCTCCTCATGCTGCTGCCAGGTCCAGAGTGTGTCATGGGTCCCTGTACGGCCTCCATTGCTGCTGTCTCCATCGCCACACTCTGCCATGTGCCACTTTCAGGTCTCCTCACACTGCTGGTGGGTTCCATTTTGTCATAGGGTGCTGTATTGCCTCCCATTGCTGCTGCCAGGCCCGTAATCTGCCATGGGCCCCCGTACCGACTCCTCATGCTGCTGCCAGGCCCCGTAATCTGTCATGGGCCCCTGTACCTCCTCCTCATGCTGCTGCCAGGTCCAGAGTGTGTCATGGGTCCCTGTACGGCCTCCCATTGCTGCTGTCTCCATCGCCACACTCTGCCATGTGCCACTTTCAGGTCTCCTCACACTGCTGGTGGGTTCCATTTTGTCATAGGGTGCTGTATGGCCTCCCATTGCTGCTGCCTCCACCGCCACACTGTGGCTCCACACTCTGGTTTTGGCCCCGTGACTGCCCAAATGAGTGAAGTGTGCGGTGATTCTAAGATCGACGGCACTCATCTGCATGTCATACTGACTGACAGTATTATTTCTCTTCCCCAGCAGACTCCAAGGGCATTTAAATTAAAGGTACAGTGTTCTGCACTAATATAAAGGCTCTCTGAAGCCTAGAAACACCCTTTTTATAAGTTAAATTCGCAGCGAATATATTCGCCTCGAATCAAATTTTTTTTCTGCGAATACTTCGCTCATCTCTAGTTGTTATTGTGGTCAGAGCACACTTATCTATTGCACCCAATTGGAATATGCTATTGGTCCACCTGTTCTTAGTGGTAACAATGTTAGATATTGGTAGTGTACTTTAGTTTTTTTTTAATAACTTTTTTGTCTGAGTATAGATCTGTGTTTGAATGCACTTACTGTTGACTAGGGTTGGGCTTGATGTTCGAGTTGATCAGAAGTTCAACTCAAACATCGGTCGTTCATGTGTTTGGCAAATACACAAATGGTAAGGACGTTCGGCTTGACTGCCACGCCCCACAATGCACTGCTCCCTGACAGTGCATTGTGATTGGCCAAAGCAATGCACCTGTCCACAGATCAGATGCAATGCTCTGACCAATCACAGTACATGATGACATCACAAGGGGGCGGGGCCACCCGGTGACATCAACCGAGTGACCCTGCCCCCTTGTGACGTCATCGTGGTATTTAACAATTGTCACCCTGGCGCCGCTATCAGGCGGTCGGAGCCAGCGTCGAGAGTGGAGCATTTTTTTTTCTTATTTATGGTCAGAAAGCATCTTGATTGACATTGGATCTACTTCGTGGGACTTTTTTTGTTTTTGTTTTTAATAAAGGACTTGTGAAAGGCTGTCTTCTGTCATTTTTTACACTACACTTTTTTTGTGAATTAGTAGCCGTACCTTGTACCTCATATTCATTCACTTGGGGGGGCTGGATCTGGGGGCCCCCTTGTAAAAGCGGGCTTCCAGATTCTGATAAGCCCTCCACCCACAGACCCCCACAACCACCGGCCACAGTTGTGGGGAAGAAACCCTTGTCCCCATCAACATGGGTGCAAGGTTCTTACGGGAGGGGAGCCCCCCTGCCCCAAAATACCCCCCCAATGTTAAGGGCATGTGGCCTGGTATGGTTCGGGGGGGGGGGGGCGCTTGCTCGTCCCCCTCCTTTCCTGACCTGCCAGGCTGCATGCTCAGATAAGAGTCTGGTATGGATTTTGGGGGGACCCCTGGACCATTTTTAAAAACATTTTGGTGTGGGGGTTCCCCTCAAAATCTATACCAGACCCAAAGGGCTTGGTATGGATGGGGGGGAATCCCACGCTGTTCAAAAAAAAAAAATTAATTGCTGGCAATTCTTTTTACATTCAGCTGTCAGTGGGGAACCTCACTGACAGCAGAAACATTGAGGAATGTTTTCACTACTAAAATACCACGTGACTTAATAATATAACTTGTGGTATTTTAGTATCTGTGCGGGCTAGCTCCTGAGCTGGGCTGTGTGCATCAGGAAGGGTTATGGGTCATTTTTTACCTAAATACAGGGAATACATTAAGGTAGAAAATGTCCTTACTTTGGAAGTACTTTAACTGAAATCATGCTTTTTGAGCACCTTGACATTACCGATTTCTGAAGGACATATAGTACTGCTCATTGTAGTCATGCATATTTTTTGACATGACATTACCTGGAGGTTTTTGGGTTGGTTCTTCAGTAGGTTTATGAATTGGTGGTTGTGAGAAACCATGTATAATACAAATGATCCAGTCCAAGATCCATAACTGGTTGTTGTGACTCCATTCCTTGTTGATCCAGTGTAACTCGACAGTCCAGGTTTTTTTTCCACTGTCACTAATCCTACATTATTACCCAGTATTCCAACATGGATAGCTGCTTTGCAAATGGAGGAATCCTAAAATATATATATATATGATATGTTATTAGAGTTTCCTGATGAAGTGTACTTTTTTGTGCTGCATTTTTTGTGACAGTAGTAGCAGTTGAATTAACTTACATCAGTATAGACATCAGTTCCCCAGGCATTTCTTCCATTAACCATGCAATCCGATGAACATTGGACTCTAGGGAACAGAAAACACAGGTTTGCACATATTTTTCTAATGAATCTCTTTTCTATTCTATCTTAGTATTATCCAGTTAGTGACACCAGTTAAATGAAGACAATACTCACAGTGCGATAGAATCTTTTAGGTCTCTAGCAGTGGTTGAACAGGTTCCTTGTACTGGAAAATAAGGGAAAACGTTACAAATCAGTGATTTTTGCAACCATCTGTAAATGTCAGAGGCTGAAAATTTGTCATGCTCTTTTTGTAAACCAGTCAAATTACTTGTTATGGGTAGATGCCCAGACTGCATGGGGAGCAGTGACAAGATAGTTTGGGACTTGGTGTCATTCGTTTTCCATATGGGGTACCACTTAAACGTGGACAATTTTTATTCAAGCGTGCCACTATTTAGACATTTGTACAATCTTGGAACTGGCACATGTGGCACAATGTGACCTAATGTGTGCCCACCATTAGAAGTGGGAGGATGCAGGGTGGTATATTCTAATGGTGGGAATACCACGCACTTTTTCTGGCAATGATTTCTTCTCATTTTTTCATTCAGCCCACAGGCTGCATACAAAAAAAAAAGAAAAGAACATACCATATATACCTAAAAAGGACCAGCGACGTACTGGTACATCACTGGACTTTGAACGGTTATACCAGGATGATGTCTACAGCTAGGCATAATCCGGCAATCGGCTTTCATGTAAAAGCAATCCTAGTGGCTAATTAGCTGCAGGATTGCTTTTACAAGCAGCGGAAGATGATGCCCCCCTCCCCCCCTGCCTTCCCCGGCATTCTCGTGCAGTCCCGTGCCATCGGGGGAACCTGAGAATGCAGACGGTGTTTCTGCCAGCTTGACCATAGAGCTGATTGGAGATCAGAATGGTGCCAATCATATCTATAGCCTAAGAAATCGGAAGCTACGAGCATTTAATCACTTCAGTTCAGCAGGATATAAACAGCGCCATTTGTAAATTGGGAAAGCATCTGTTCACACCCATCTTGTTTGATTATATAATGTAAGGGCAGAGGAGAGATCTAGAGTCTGATAGAACCCAGATTTCTCAAAAAAGAATATATGATAATGCCCAGTGAAGTTATAGGGGATATTTGCATTCCCTATGAAAAATCGCTGCGCAAATACTATGTGACATAAAGAATTGCAGCACTCGCCATTGTATTCACTAGGGTGTTTGCTTTAAAAAAATATATAATGTTTGGGGGTTTACATTAATTTCCTAGCATAAAATACTGAATTGTTTTCATGTGAACAAAAAGAGTCAGAAAAGGCTTGGTCTTCAGGTGGTTAGAAGAGTGAGTGATGTGTGGCTTCTAATGCTGGGCATAAAATGCCCCCACCCCCCAAAACGACCCCTTTTTGGAAAGTAGACACCCCAAGCTATTTGCCGAGAGGCATGTTGAATAAATAGAATAATTATTTTTTTACCACAAGTTTTTGGAAAATGACAAAAAAAAGTTTGTTTTTTTTACACAAAATTGTCACTTAAATGATTTATTGCTCACACATGCCATGGGTATATGTGGAATTACTCCCCAAAATACATTCTGCTACTTCTCCTGAGTATGGGGGTACCACGTGTGAGAGACGTTTTGGGAGCCTAGCCACATACAGGAGCCTGAAATCCAATGACCACTTTGAAACCCTGAAGGTGCGTAACTTCCTCATTTCACTTCCTCACTACCCAAAATCCAATAAGCACCTTCAGGCTTTTAAAGGGCTTTATTTCCTCTTTACACTTTCTGATTACCTATCACAGTTTTGGAGGCCCTGAAATGCCAGGGTAGCACCCCCCCCCCCCCCTATATGACCCCTTTTTGGAAAGTAGACACCCCAAGGAATTTGATAAGAAGCATGGTGAGTATTTTGCAGATCTCTTTTGTTGCCACAGGTTTTTGGAAAATGGAGAAAAATAACAAAAATATATTTTTTTTCTTTTCTTTATTTTATCTTTTTTTTTACATTTCAAAACCTTGTGAGAAAAAAATAGATGTGCAAAATACTCAACATGCCTCTTTTTAAATTCCTTGGGGTGTCTACTTTCCAAAAAGGGGTCATTTGGGGTGGGGGTTGGTGCTATCCTGGCAATTCAGGGCCTTCGAAACAGTGATAGGTAGTGAGGAAGTGAAATGAGGACATAATGCCCTTTAAAAGCCTGAAAGTGCCTATTGGATTTTTGGCAATGAGGAAGTGAAATGAGGAAGTTACGCTCCTTCAGGCTTTCTAAGTCGTCATTGGATTTCAGGCTCCTGTATGTGGCTAGACTCCCAAAAAGTCTCACACATGTGGTATTCCCATACTCAGTAGAAGTAGCAGAATGTATTTTGGGGTGTAATTCCACATATGTCCATGGCTTGTACAAGAAATAAATCATTTAAATGACAACTTTGTGTAAAAAAAAATATATATATATTTTTGTCATTTTCCAGAAACGTGGAAACATTTTTTTTTTCCATGGACTCAATATGCCTCTCATCAGATAGCTTAGGGTGTCTACTTTCCAAAAAGGGGTCATTTGAGGGTGTTTGTGCTATCCTAGTATTTTAGCACCTCAAAACATGTGATGGGCAGTCAGAAAGTAAAAGCTGCGTAAATTCCATTATCTATACCATAGTTTGTAGATGCTATAATTTTCACACAAAGCAATAAATATACACTTATTGGGATTTTTTTAACCAAAAACATGTAGCAGAATACATTTTGGCCTAAATGTATGACGAAATTTTAGGGTTTTTTTTTAATATTTTTTATGACAGAAATTAGGGTTTTTTTTTTATAGCGGCAAAAATAAAAAGCGCACAGGGGATCAAATACCACTGAAAGAAAGCTCTATTTGTGTGAAAAAAAAGGATGTAAATTTAGTTTGGGTGCAGCATTGCATGACCGTGAAATTATCACTTGAATTAGTGCAGTGCCAAGTAGCAAAAAGAGGCCTGTTCATTAACGGGGGTAAATCCTCTGGAGGGCAAGTGGTTAACTGAAAACAAGCTATTTGAGCATTTTGACATTATCAATTTCTGAAGGACATATAGTAC